GCTGTGTGCAGGCACTGCTCAGGGACAGCTTACAGCAGCCACATCCCTGTGGAAGGAATCTCCTGGCTTCTCTGTGCCTCTGTGTCCCCCTGGCACCCAGCTGTGCCTGCCAAGCAGATCAGCATCCCTGGTCATCTTTTGGGAGCAGAGCTCCTACCAGGAGCTGCTGGAATGCTGGGGTCCCTCTGCAAGACTGGTCTTCCCCAGGCAGGGCCACTCCAGTGAGGCTGCAAGCCCACAAGCTGCACTCCCCTTTCACTGCATATTTTCGTGTGCTTTAAGATTTTGCTCAGGCAGAACTATTAAATCTCCAGAATTTCAGGCCTATATTCAGAAAAATAGAAATGTTATGTTGTTTGGCAACCTCTTTTATCAGCCATATCTCTTTCCTAACATGATGCTCACAGCTTTTTAAGTCATTCATCTGCAGGAGGTTGTGTTCTGCGCTGCTGGTGGTAGTCAGGTGAAAGGGTAGTTAAAGAAAAAGTCATTTTTGTAGAGGTAGAAATAGCTGTCCCCTCCAGAGAGAGTTGATTGCAGTGGTGATTGCACACCCCACAAGAAGAGGAACATGTTCAGGAAGTCTCATGGCAGCAATGTCCTCCTGAGGTCAGAGAAGCAGCAAGTAAAGAGTCCCACAAGTGTGGCTTTCCAGGACAGCTCAGGAGAAGCCCTGAGCTCCCTACTTTCCAAATGCCACTGTGTCACTTCAGCCTTGCTGCAGTTTTTTACAGGATAAAACATTAAACACTCCAGTCTATTGTGATCCCTGCATGGTCCATTTCAGGAACACCTCCTGGGCACTCCCAGCTTTGCTTGCTGTTTGCAGCAGCTCTGTCAGGCACATCCTCCACATCCCCCGGGAGCCTCAGAGCTGAAGGGGAAATCTGAAATGCTCCTGATGCAGAGGATGGAGAGACATTGCAAAGTTAGTGCACCTACACATGCCTCCAAAGAGAAATGCTGAATAAAAATCCACCTTGATGTGCTCTTGAAGGCAAAAGCCTTCTAATGCAGCCTCTGCCCATGATTTATAACAATGACTCATAATATTGCATTATACTTAATATGATGTAACGCTGATGCAAGATGCCATTTGTGGAATTTCAATGTCACAGGGAAAATGAGAGGAGAGAGCAGTCTGGTCATGTACTTTGCCATGCAGTCAGAATGAAATGCCTACAGCCAGAATGTGTAGAGCCTTTCAGTATCTACTTTGTTATTTTTTAGCAGGATAGATAACCTGGTGAATAACATTTCTGTTTCCTGGAGTATAAATATCTCTCAGACATACATTATTGTGTTACTTACAGTAATTTAATCAACTTCATATTTGAGAAGATAAATTTGCTAACAGACAATTCAGTCTTGCAATTATACCCCCTCACATGGAAGTTTGCAGGGCAAATAAGGATTATGCCTTTAAATTAATTGAAGCTTTATCTCCCTTTTCTGACCCAGCTGTTATGAATTCTCCTCCTGTTCTCACTGCACTGCTTGCTCCTTCCTGCAGTGAATCAGCACTTCAGGAAACACTAATTCAAAGAGGAAAGACACCCTAAACTCTGGTTCTGGAGGTCAGGAATTGCTGCTCTCCGCTAGGTTTGACAAATGAGGTAAGGCTCTGGAGCTGCTCGGGCCAGTTTGGTGGGCTGTTGGTGACCCCTGCTCAGAACTCTGCCCCTGCCCTTTCAGCAGCCCTAGGAACTTGTGCTACACAAGTGAGTCCTGCTGGGTTGTCCCCAGACAGACAGAGAAACAGAGCCAGAGCCCTGTCCTTCAGCTTGAGGAAAGCTGGCCCTGGCTGCGGGACCCACGGGCACCCCTGGCTGCATTTGTGGTGGGGAGCAGCTGGCAATGGCTTGTGTCCCCCACTCTGCTCCCAGGGCTGCTCCTCGCTGCATCCTGGGTGTGCCCTGGGGCTCTCTGGGCACTGCATGACCCGAGCTGTTCAACAAAGGAACAGGGATTTTCTCCACCTATGACCTTTGAAATCCTCCACATCTGACACCCTCAGTTGTCTCATTTCCAGCAAGAACTGAAAGATTGTGGAATTACAGAGTATCCTGAGCTGGAAGAGACCCTCGGGGATCACCCAGTCCAACCCCTGCCCCTGCATAGACACTCCCACCCTGGGCATCCCTGACAGTGCTGTCCCAAGGCTCTTGGAGCTCTGGCAGCCTTGGGGCTGTGCCCCTTCCCTGGATGACTGTACCCTTGCTCTGTCTTCAGGATGTTCAGAGGCTGCTGCTGGCACCCCAGGGAGCACAGAGAAATTGCCTGGGTAAAACAGGACTGTGAGAGGCTGGAAAGCCTTGAACTGAGGTCTCCACAAATCCTGGATCAGGCTTTCCCTGGTGGTTCTCTGTCAGTTCATACCCTGCAGTCCCTTCTGTGCCCAGTGCTCCCAGTAAGCCCAGCAGACCATTCTCACCTGCCAAGATGGAATGGATGATTTTACCAGTGGTGCTCAAGAAGACAATTCGATATTGATGGATCTGTGCTGTTCTAGAATGCATCCTGAACCACCTGCAGCAGGTGTCACCTTGAAGAAGGTGCTTGTCACAGGTGAGCACCAGGTGAGTGGGCACAGCACAGTTTCACATCGCAAGACCAAAGTAGAGAGGACTGACTTTTGAACACCATAGCAGTGCCTACAGGTGGTGGTAAGAAATCAATAAGAATTGATTTATTTTTGGAAGCCTGGTAGGTGCCAGTCTGTCTCCAAAGTGTATAAATATCATCAAAACCTAGCCATGGGCAAGTGAAACAAGACAAGAATTTGTAGCCCAGAGGAAAGCCACCATGAATAGATTGTGTGGAGGCTGATAAGATCCATATTGCTCCAAAATGGAGTTCCACCTCACAACAAGGCTGTCTTTGTTGTGGAAGAGTCAGGTTGTGAGAGTCCTGGCATGCCAAATATCTGTAATGGCCTCCCCTGCCAATTGTCTTTAACTACTGTGATCTTTCACACAGAGGCAAAGCCTGAAAGAAATCTCTCTAGCAAAAATACCATTTGTTCATTCTCTACAGGACAGTGGAGCAGCAAGCCCTCTCCTCGGTTCTGTTACTCTTTCTCTCCCCTGCAGATTTCAAGCAGAGATGTGTTCAAAGATGGGCAATTTTGCTCTGTGAGGATGCAGGAAGAAGCGCAGAGCTATCTCTAGATCAGAGCAGTTCCTGAGCCTGCTGGAGAAATGGCAGATGGCCAGAGATAGCACAAACCACTGCTCTCCCAGATTACAATGTGGAGAGCTGAACCTTCCAGGCACAAGCTTCCAGGACAGCAAATTGTGCACAGAAAGGTGAGAAACACGAGGAGCCTGGCAGGGAGGCTGGGGAGGCTCCTGGAGCCGGCCTTCCCACAGCCACCTCCAGCACCAATGGCCCTCCTCTGCCCAAGGTCCACACCTGGGGGATAACCGAGATAAAAAATTGCAACTTTTCTATTTGTCTGCATTTTTGAGCTTTGCTCTGGGGAAAAATTTCTGGCCAGTAGGCAGCCGAGTTTGCAGTCTGTTGTAGGCTGGTGTGTCATCTCCTAGGAATCTTTTACTGCCAGCACCCATCAAATACAAGCAGACCTTTCAAGGAACTAGCTTTGCCACAAAGGTGAAACTCTGCTATTTTTTGTTTCACTGGGTCTGTGCTTATACAGCAGAGCAGACTGTGGGTGTTGGTGCTTCACCAAGATTTTCAGGATGTGCCTTCATGCTACCAGATGCTAAGTAATAAACATCTCAGAACCATTCATTTTGCAAATATTAATGCTCAATCCTTGAGTTATTCTCGGAATTCAGGGTTCATTTTGCTGGTGTTGAAGTACAAGTTTTTGCACCACAGAGCTAGACACAGGTATTTGGGATACTACACGGAGTAAAACCCAGAATCTCATCTATAAAACTCCTACAGTAGCATTAAATTAGAGAAGGGTTTGTTTGGGGTGGAAATGGCTTTTCTTCAATACAATCTGCCTGGCTCCAGCATAACTGGAGATGTCTCAGAGCCTACAGGTAATTACCACAACAAAAATAGCATCCACAAATTAACTGCTGCTCCCAACTTCCTTCTCCCATTTGCCTCTAAGTCACACTCACATGATGCTGGAATCAGGACTATTGCATAGGAGGAGGTAAAAGGAGAGCTGAGGAAGCAAGGATTGACATCCTTGGGCAATGGGATCAGCAGAACTCCTGCAGAGAGAGCCCTGCTGGGCTGTGCCCAGGGTGTGGGGAGCCCACAGACAGCCCTGGCTGTTCCAGCTGCTGGAATTGGAGCCACAGCCCCACTGGGACTGCCTGGGAATGCCTGGCCCACAGGCAGCTGGGGAGCATAGCTCAGACCAGGCTGGGTCCTGTGCCTGGCCGAGCTGCCACTGGAGATCAGAAACACGGCCAAGGCAGCAAACCCTGGGTGTTCAGTGCCTGGGATCCCCAGGAAATTTGTGTGTGGGAGCTGCTGGAGTCCTGCCTTCCCCAGTGCTGCCTCTGCAGCAGCTGCTCTCAGTCCCAAAGGATGGGGTGGGTGGCAATGCTGCTGTGATGAACCCAAATCCGTGTCACAGTGTGACACAGTGTGACAAGGACTCAGCCTGGGGTCTTGCTGCTGAAGCCTTTCCCTCCTTGCAGGGGCGGCTCTCACACAAAGAGCAACGTTTGAACAACGGGGTTGAAAATGATCCCTTTTCAGCTGAGTGAGACGTTCATGTCTGAACCTGACAAGACTCCTGCTCACCCACACAGCAGCAGGCAGCTTTTTACCAGAAGTACCGTTTGACTTCCCAGATAAAACGCTTGTTTGATTTTTTTTCCCTTTCTTACAGCTGCAAAGAGTAACATTTAGACAAATGCTTGATGAGCAGACGGTCCAACAACCTGCAGAGGGGTCTACTTGTCTACTGTGAATGATGGCAGCATGGCAGCGCTGTGGTTCTGCTGAGCAGCACACCAAACCCATCCCAGCCCCAGGATGGACACGGGGACAGCAGGGCCACTCACCTTGCGCCCGGCCTCGTTGTTGTGCAGGTTCATGAGCGTCCTGGCGTTCTGCTTGATCTCCCGGGCGTCCACGAAGACCTTGGCGAAGCCGATGCCGTAGCGGATGTCGGCGGAGCAGCCGCCCCATTTCCAGCCCTCCTCCTTGTGGTACTGGCCCTGCTTCTCCTTGTCGCAGCCGCAGTCGCTGAGATTGCCCTGCGTGCAGGCCGCCGTGATGGCGTGGGCCACGCCGGCCGCGATGATGGCGTAGGTGAAGGCGGCCTCCCTGCTTCCTGCAAGGAAAACGGCTGTGAGCAGTGGGCAGGGCATGGCAAGGGGAACGGCAGGGCCTGCGGGCACACAGCACCGCCTGCTCCTGGAAATGCTGGAAAGACACTCCATGAACAGGGGAACGGCAGGGCCTGCGGGCACACAGCACCGCCTGCTCCTGGAAGTGCTGGAAAGCCGCTCCACGAACAGGCTCTGCTCCTCTGGGATTCACCTGCTGGATGCTCATCTCTAAAGCAATGGCCCTCCAGGAGGCAGGGGGAGATCAAGTGTTGTTCAGGCCTTTGGAATTTAGCTTTTATATGTTTCATATCCTGTACTGATCAATGTATAACCCTAAACTCCGTACAGAGTGTTAGTTAATTGTCTTCACATTTTGGTCAGACAAAAAATCCCTCTAGACCTGAAACTCAAGGATATCCTACAGCCTCAGGCTCTGAAAAGTATAAACAAAAGTGAATGGGGAGGAGGAAATTGGGGGGTAAATTACTTCATTACCTGCAGCTGTAATTGAAGAATTAACCCATGATATATAAATGCGCCAAATTTATAATTGTCTGAAAAACTCATGACCACCGTTCATCCTGGGTGCAGCCTCTGGGAGGCTTCTGGCTGCCCAAGATGTCCCTATTAAAGGCTTTTAATAAATACCCACTTTATTCTCTTAACCTTGCCTAGCCTCTGTTCTATGGGGTCACTCCAAGGCATCAAGGCAGCTTCATCTCTATATTTCCAGATGCTATTAGGAGTAGGCAAACTAAACTTAAAACAAAAGGATGGGGTGGCAAATGTTGGAGCTCAAAAATAAAGAAAGAAAGGAAAACAAAATAGGTGGGCTTGGGGGTTAAGTTGTTAAAGCATCCATATTCAACCTTTTAAAAACTCAGCTCGGAAGTAGGATTTTATTTTAAAATTTAATTCTACACTAAATAGTATTTTTACAGGATGACTGCTTCTGTTTGACTCGTGTTCTGAAAACATTTTAACTGGGACAATTTCTTCACAATGCAGGTGTCAAAAAGTTTTCAACTCTGACATCTGTGCTGACTCAATGAAATAAGTCTTGGGTTTAATTTCAAAATTTCTCATAAAATGAAAAAAAATCCTGACCTGTTGTAGGCACTGTGACCAGAGCAAGGTGAAGTAACAGCCTCACCAGAGGGCTTCGAGGCAGAGGTTGGGCCAATAATACTTTGTGCAACAAGGCCATAATGACAGGTTTCTGTTTCCTGAGGGGGGGTTCTCACTTTAAATCTAAGATTTCATTTCTCTTTTTGAAGTTTTGTTTCATCCTGCTGTGTGTATTTCCCACATGTGAACCCTACGGGATCTGTGAGGCTTTGGGGCCAGTTCAGCTGAGAGAGGGCCCTTCACAGCCTGAGGAGGTTTGCAGAGGTTGCCCGTGTGTGTCAAACAGCCCTTAAAAATTTTTGCATCTCCCAAACCGAGAACTTGTCCCGCTCTTATTTCTCCAATGACAAAATGCACCCTTGTTGAATAGGATCAGAATCAGGCTCTTAATTAGGGGAGTGCAGATGGGAAGATCTGCTTCCCTTCTCCAAGTGCTCATCAGCTGAGTCCTGGCAGACCTCAGCTGCTGGCAAGAGTTTGTTACCCATGAAACAAGCCCATTTCTGCTGCTCATTGCATTTCACAAAAAAATCATCACTTGGGAAAGAAACCTTACAACACTTCAGCCTTGGCTGCATCCCTTTCTTGTAATATGATCTGGATTTCTCTGCTTGTCTCTTTTAATGATAAATGTTCATTTCCTTGTACCGAGGAAGTAAAATGGAAAACAAGATGACATTATCACAATCTGTTAATAGTCAACCTCATGCCCTCTATTAGCAAAGACAGTATTCCTAATGCTGCAACATACTGCATTTATTAAAGAACTTAATAAATATTAAGGAACAGTCAATTATCTGACTTCTTCAAAGGATTCCTTGTTTCTCCTTACTTAAACACAAAAAAAAATCATAACATGATTTGTTTTGACCATGGAAATTGCAGATGAAGCTTTCTAGAACTCTTGGCTTTTTATAAAAATCTGAATGTAGAAGAGAAATACCAGGCTTTAGGTGTATTTGGAGTTGAGCTCCTCCTCCAGTTTACATTCATCAGCACCCTCACTACTGTAAGCACAACACTATGAAAAAGGCACTGGCAAACAGTGCACAGTAAGAAGTCCCACTTTATCTCTCAGAGGGCAGCACTGCATCACACCAGGTTTCTGCTCCACAAAGCAGCAAATGGGACATTGTCAAAGAAATATTTCTGAGTTGAATTTGCATGTGGTTCTTTTTTCCCTTTGATTTTCATCAGATTACTTTTGTTCAGCACAAGTTATTTTCAAGGTCTAGAACAAAAACCACTGGGAGATCACGTGAATCTGACATACTCAGCATTGTAGAGGCTGAGCACTACTTTTGCTTTTTAGAGGGGAGAAAAATGCAATGTAGAAAATACAAAATTAGTTAGTACAAGCAGAGTCAGAAGCCAGTGTCAAGCTTGATCATAAATTACATTACATAAATTATTTTATAAGTTTGTCTTATTTAGGAGAAAATCTTAGCAGCTTTTAAAACCTCAAATTTTGGAGATTACAAGGTAAACAAAGCAAGTGCTTAGAAGAATTGAACCAAGTAGGAAGTGCCTTGGCACTTGTGCAGTGGTGATAAAGTGATGTGGGTTTGTCACGTCTGCATCCAACTGTTCCTGTTTTTTCATAAATGATTGACTTTTTGAGTCTCATTACCCTGGCCTGGCTCACAGAAATGCCAGCATGGGAGGGAAGCTCAGGCCAGCCTGAGTGTCTTCTGTGACAGTGCCTGAGGTCCCAGGGGTTGGTGCCCAAACAGGGTAACCTCAGCATGGGGGTGCTTCTGCCACTTTTAAGTAGAAATTCTACTCCCCTACTTTGGAGTCCCGCAGAGTTGAAATTCCTGGAGGATCTGAGGGGGAAACGTGGCTTTGCCAAGGTATGGCCAGGCAGCTGCTCCTACAGATGTTAGGCAAGGGTGGAGAGTCACCTGTCACAGAATCACAGAATCCCAAATGGTTTGGGGTGGGATGAGACCTTAAAGCTCCTTTCATTCCAGCCCTGCCATGGGCAGGGGCATTTCCATCACTCCAGGGTGCTCCAAGCCCCGTCCAACCTGCTTTGGACGTGTACAAGAATTACAAGCCTTCCTTTCAGCTCCCAAATCACACATTCTTCTCCTTATCTCAGACAAACCATGGTAAACACTCCAGAGCTCAACTCCAACCACTGGAACCTCCAGAGAAGGATCTGGCAGCAGTCAGAGCTTGCTCTGGCCATTCACAGGACCTGATGGGTTCCAGCCATGGCTCTGCTCCCTCAGCCTCACCTGGGACTCTCCCCAGCCCCAGCCAGTGCCTCAGTGCTGTGGGACCACGGGGGCTTCTCTCCACATGTTGGACATAGACATCCTCCTGCTTTTCCTGTGCTTGTCTGAACTGCAGTGAGGTGTGCAGCACACTGCAGCTCCATTTGCTCTGACGGCAGAGAGCTTGGCATTGATGGCTCCCAAAATTTCTGCAGCTCCATCTGCTGATGCAGATCCTCTCCCAAAGCACTGGAGTCCTGTCTGCAGACCCTGCACTGGGCAAGGCACCTTCCCAGGCTCTCTGTAGCTGTGTCTGTGAGCTCTGCACAGCCAGTCACCACGCCGGGGTGCCAGGCATCTCAAGGGGAAGCACTGAGAGGGTCACAGGTGGCTGCAGACACAGGTGCTACCAGGGCAGCTTCTCCCCTAACACTGAGCACAGTTATACACACCCCATGCACGCCTCAGAGCCTTAATTCTGCAAACACTCACTGCATGCCTCTGAGTTTGGATATGAATGTTTGCTAGACTGGGTTTGGGCTGATCAGTCTGTCTACCAGCTGCACAGACTGGTCTGTATTCTGGTTTTAATTTAGCTAACTTCATTTGAGTAATTAAGTTTAATCTTTAAATTTCAAAACTTTGTAAAAACTTCATTCACACAGATTAGAAATGGAAACTTATTTTTTAAAAGAAGTGCAATACCTTGATGTTGTTTAGGAAACAAAGCCTGAGCCTGCAAAATGCAGAGCAGATTTACTTGCAGGAAGTCAGTAGGTGCTCAGCAGTTTGGGATCTAAGGGTGTTTCTAAACAGCCTGTCCCACCCTATCAGCCCCCTCATAAATTGACTAAGCTGTGAAATAAAAGAGAGACAAATTTCTGTTTATCTCACTGGAAAACATGGGTTGTATTTTCTGCTATTTAAAGCCAAAGGGTCAGAGAGGGAGTTATCTGCAGTGACATGAGTTGAAATATGATTGTGAAAATATAAAGATGGAAAACACAGCATATCTTGCCAATTATGTGCCACAGCAAACATTACTCCTCATCTCTCTATAGAGGCCATAACTCACAGGCTGGAAAAACGCAGAGCAGAGCCCATCCCCTGCCTGCTTTGGGCTTTGCCTCCTCCTTCTTTGGTAGACTACGAATGGTCTGGCAGGATTTTTTATTTTCATTTTTCTTTAACCTAGCATGAGTGATTAATAAGAATGGTAGCTTTAAAAAAATCATTGAAGTATCCTCTTCCTAATTTTTTCTTCCCCTTCTGTACAAAGTTGGGGGGGTTGGTGCCTTAAAATATTGTATTCAGTAGGAATTAAAAGGATGGTTCCCTATAAAACAGCACTGTGGCTTTACAAAGATTAGTTCAAATAAATAAAATATAGAGGGGCTTTAAGAGGCATTTCAAGACTCTGGGGGTTTAGGCCCTGCCTACTTTCATGAGCTGAAGTTCCTTTCATCAACACATGAAACTTTTGCAGAGGAAACACTCCAGCTAAAGTGATTATTTCTGAAAACACCCCCTTTAAATTTATAAAGTTTCTACTCAAGACATGTGCAGTGCAAAAGCCAGAGCCATTATTTTGGAGTTCAAATCAGCCTCCCCTTTTCAGAGGGCTCTGAACCCTCACAGCCCAGCCCTTTGGG